AGGTAGATTCCCTTAGAGTAAGGTTAGGCGAAGCACCTTCCTCTAATCACCAGCATGGTGGATTAGCAACTGTAAACGCCAAGGAAGCAGAACAAATAGCAAGTGCTAATGGAGTTCAGAGAAAAGAGAGATCACCAAAGACCCAGGGTATGCTAATTATATGCTATATGAGCTTGCAATTATAAACCCATAGATATGCAAATAAATGCTGATGACTCAGTGCAGGAGACTACAAAGCCATTTATCTATGGCCCCTGATAAGTGGACAGTGAGATAAATGGTTTGTTTATAAATTCACTGAGAGATTACACTAATATCTCTAACTACTTCTCCTCCCCCTGCCCCCCATTGTAGGGGCTTCCACAGAAAGAAGAGGCAGTAGGTACCTCAGATCAGATTTCCATATTCATTACCTGCTGACCTAGGTGGCTCTGGAGGTTCATAATAATATAAACAGGTCCTTTCCATTGTGACTGGCTGAAATGTCTAAAGTCATTTCCCTGTGGCCCTTCTTTACTGAATAAATGGGCAGGGATGGTAGCATCTGTTCCTGCCACCCAGATCCTGGTGACAGTTCGTATATTGGCCTTTCTTATCTCTCTGGTGGAGAGGTCGCAGAGGACAGAACTGCCAGGAAATCCTAAGCATGCTGACTCTCAGCATTAGGCCTTCCTGCAGCTCAGGGCTGGAAGTCTTTGAGGAACCATGGTGCCAGGGTGGCAGGCATTGCTGGGGCCAGACTTGCACGTACATGAAGCCTGTCACTCTGAGTGTGGATGGATGACCTGTGCACACCAAGGATGTAAAGGCATCAATTCCTAACTGACAGTTGTTCGGGCTTCTGTCCTTGTATAACCTCTGAGAATAAATGTCCTGAAAATTTTAAGCCTAGAAAGGAGATTCAGAATAACTTTATGGTTGCCTTGAAAGAGCCAAAGGTTTTCATTTCTCTCAATGGAGAATGTTTTTTTTTTATAGTATCCATATGTTCAAAGAAACATTTCTCAAGTGCCTACTATGTGCTGTTCCCTATGCTCAGATTATAGTCTGCTGTGATACTTACAGGATGTTACACTACGGCCTTCTGTACTGTGCACATAGTACGTAATACATGATAGAATCCTAAAACCATAATGAATCTAACATAGACATTTTCAAATGTGAACCCCATTTTTATGCCACTGGAAAAGAGATTCTCACTGATAGTTTTAATTTGGCTGCTTGGTTATGAGAGGACATTGTCGGTATTGCAAGAAGGCTCGGTCGGGTTCGTCAAGCATTCATGTTTTGGTGTTTTTCATCTACCCATCTTCTGAGGTATCAAGTGTTCTCACAGTCAAGAGAAGAAAGTGGATTTGAAATGTCTCCTCTTTAGCCAATGACTATACAAAATAACATGTAAATAAATAGGGAAGGAATGAAAGACTGGATAATGGGAAAAATGAACCTGCAATGTATCTGTATCTCTGTGTTGATGTGACTTTGAATCATGAGTAATTAAGCTTAGGCAAGGAACCAATCCACTGTGAGCAGTTCCGGAAGTAATCACAGGCAAAGAAATCAAAGCTTCTTTCTAAAATCCAAAATTTTTAAGCCTGCCCCAAATACCACATCTACTAAATATGTGAGTCAAAAATAACATTATGTCCATGAAATAATTCCAAAAGGATATAGACAAAAATCTCAACAGCTCAACACTAGAAAATACACAGGGCCTCATTTTTATTGTTTTGAATTTATTTTAGTTTTCAGAGAGTAACAGTTCTTCCCTTAATTTACTTTATGGACAAGTAAGATTTCTTTCCCCTTAAGATATAAATTAACCAACTTATTCTAATAATAAAATATGCTGCTACTAAGGTAAAAGGACTAGGGGAAAATGGGTAATATCATTTTCTTGGTCTGTCAAGTCAACATCAGATGAGAAAATTGAATCAATCCTCCTAGTCAGCAAGTACAATGTTACTGAAATGATGTCATCGTGAAACTATTTTATGACCTGAAAGAAGCTATCAGGTCCTTCACTCCTAAGTCCTGTGCTGACAGTTTAGATCAGTTGCCATCTCATATATATATAATATTTTTTAATAAAGGTGCAGTAAGTTCTCTAAAAGTCATAGGCTCTAAATTATATAGTCAGAAAATAGCATTCTTTATATTTTTCTGTGTGCACAAAATGTATGAGATGGACCTCTGAGAGAATTAAATGTCTTAAATGTATTAAAACCTTGTGGTGGGTCCTTTCTTTGTATTGGGTTATCAGTCTTACATTCTGTAGGAGTATACCTGTTGATATTAGGTCCTGTTAGTAACAATGACAAAAAAAGCCAGTAGTTTTAACAAGATGACAGTTTATTTTTATCTCACATAAAAGAACTCCAGAGGTGGAACAGTATCCCTCTGTCTCCTCAGTGACGCAGTCTCTATCATTATGCTTCACTCTCTGTATTGTTTGTCTTCATCCTCAAGGCTGCCTCACGGGCCAAGATGAAGTTCCAGCCATCATATCTGGGTTCCAGGTCAGCAGAGGGAGTAAGTGGGAGAGAGTGAAATTGCAGGAGTCCCAGCTAAATCAGCTTCCCTTTAAGCAGCCATCAGAGGAGCCCCATAAAACCCTTCTGCTCAAATCCCACTGGACTGAACATTTTCATGGGATCTCATCTACCTACAAGGGACAATGAGAAGAATTCTTTTCTATGGGAAAAGGAACCAGTGGAAAACTGGCTTTCTAATCATAAGAAAAGAGTGGTAAATGGGTGTCTGGGAGGCAATCCAGTCCTCTTGCCACAGTGGCTGTATCTCACAGTGGAAAAAAATGGAGAATAGTGTCAGGTCTTTTTGTGATAGCCTACCCAGAATAATTCCCATAGAGCTCATGCATGCCTCCTTATATCTCTTATTTAATAGATGTTTTTGCAGCTCACTAATACGAAGCCCTTTCCAAGCTGAATTTTTGTGTCAATAACCACATTTCAAGTACAGACAAGACTATGGCCTTGCAAGGCAACTTTCTTTATCTGACCAGGATTGTGGGGCCTTTTGTCCCCAAATCCATGGGAACTATACATAAATCTTCATATAGTTGAAGGCAATAACAAAGCACAAAGAGCCCTCCACTCCCCAAAATCAAGAACGGTATCCAACTGACTGTTTTAAAAGATGTATTTCAGTGGGTAACTGAAGGTACCTTTCCTTTTATATCCCTTCACAAAATGTGAATTACTTGTAAAAACTGATGAAACACTTTTTATGAATGATTTTGCAGCTGCCTTTTGTAAGGGCTGGCATTTACCATATAAATGGTGGGTATATATAATTGATAAGCAGAAATTTATGAACGACTTGTTTTATCTGAAAATGGAGCACTTAACTAAGAATATACGCTGGTTTCCCAAAAGCAAGACAAAAACTGGCTATTTCATTTAAGAAACCCTAAATTCTTCATGTAAATGTTACTTCATTAGCCGCTGGGTTAGAACGAGCCAACTCCATTGGAAGTGCCTCGTTTTACCACTGAGTCAGTTCTCTGGAGGACAAAACAGACCCTCGGATACCTTTCCTCCACCACTCTCCTGGGTGGTATAAAATAAATAGATTGAGGCATCTCTATGTGGTGAAATGCTTTGTTAGGTAAGAATCTCTGTAATGTTATAAATTAGGTAAAGTTTATTTTTAATGCTTTGCTTACCCTCTTTCCTTCCCTGCCTCTCTTCCTCAATTAGTTCAGGAAGCACTGGCAGAGCAACAATTGTATATTAGGGGACATGTCAGGGCTAGAGCCATAGACTGTGCCCTAAGTTCGCCACCTTCATTTCCTGTACCTTTGCTCAGGCACATGGCCACCACTTGCTGCCCTGGTGTCTTGTGGCCCCGAGTGGTGTTGCCTCCCTCGCCTGGGTATGGCCTTGCCAACGGTGCCCTGCCTCCTGACCGGCTTTCCTCCCCAGCCATGCTTTCCCTTTAAGGGCCCATGGCCCAGACTGCCAGATAGTTCTTCAATTTAAATCCAGATCTTTCAACTCTTACCTTAAAGGGAAGATATTGGTAGCAATTTTAGACCATGTATTAAAAGAGTGGGGGTAGAATTGCAAGATTCTTTTTAGTAACCAAAGACTTCAGAGTAGATCTTTGGCCCAAATTGTAACTAATATTTGTTTGTCCAGAACAACTATAAAAATGTTGCTATTTTAGATAATGTTTCAGTGTCTCTAGGGTAATTCATTTAATACAAATTTTACTAAAATATGATTATCTTCTTTGTAGAAAATTCTTTGAAATCAGTTGATTGGGGGGCATTCTATGAATAAAGATATAGAGGAACCACTCATATCACATAAACCAGTAGATTCCTAGGTAAGGCCACCCCCACTCCAGACTGCAATATAAATGTTGGAAGTTATATTCATTTATTCACTCATATGTGCATTAAACACATATTCATGGAATGTGTACTGTGAACCAGACTATTTTAAGTAATTAACAAAACATATTATTCTCTATTCTCATACAATTTATGGTGTAGTGAAAGTGACATTAATGAAAATCAAAATTAACAAATAAAAAGAATTATTTCATGCTGAGAAAAAATATTATGAAGTATGAACAGGGTGCTGTGAAAAATAACAGGATGTTCTGGCCAAGATGGTCAGGAAAGGTCTCTGTGAAGTTCACTCTTAAGAAGAGACTAAAGTTCAAGAATGAGCCATGTCAGAAGATGCCAAAGTTTGACTTGTCAGACTGGATTATCCAAAAAGCTATGGCACTTATAGGTTGCTTGTGTCTCTCCTGAGGTATCTGGCATATGAATCATGCCCAGCATCAGCCAAACTTCTGGTTTGAAACCAGAGATCCTGTTTTTAGAAAGATGCTTAATGCAAGCCTAATAAAGCCACGGCACTGTTTTGAAATTCTACTTTTGCATATGGTGAAATGTCACTAGCTGCACAGTTTGTTTTGTGTACACTAACCATGAATCTCTCTCTCTTCCTTTGTATCGCCAGGCCTCCGGAACCTGTTTACAGCACTGTGAACAAACTTTGTGATAAGCCTGCTTCTCCCAGGCACTATTCCCCTGTCGAGTGTGACAAAAGCTTCCTTCTCTCAACTCCCTACCCCCACTACCACCTAGGCCTGCTCCCTGACTCTGAGATGACCAGGTACTGCATGCGCTTCCTCACTTCATCTTCTTGAATTGCATGTGCTTCCACCAGGATGAATGGGTAGAATCTGCCTCTGCTCCCTTTGCTGGCACTTGACATCTTCCTTAAGGTGGAGAGATGTTCTGCTCTCTTGGTGCAACGGGAGAAATTAAGAACATTGCCTTTTCTTGCTGGTGTGATCACAGAGCGCTCAGGCATGATCACATGAAGCTCCAAATGTTCTTTGTTCCCATGAATTTTTCATAATGTACTAATTATATTTTTCCAGAAGAATTGATTGGAAATTAATTAGCACTATTTCACCCATACAGAAGGATGAAAGAGAACATTTATTGAGTACATTTTTGAGTAATATTTAATAAACACTATGCTCCAGGTATAACATAGTCTCAGAAGTAGGTACTATTATTGCCATGTAATATGTTAGTTAAAATATTAAATCTTTTAAATATTAAATTAATACCACCACCTAATTGACCCCTGGAAGTATTAAACAACTGTCCAAAACTATAGAATTAGTTGGTTCTATCTAACTGCAAAGAATCTTAACTTTTACAATATTTTATCATGGTAGATGTTTACCTCCGTGCTCTTCTTTAGGTACTCCCATTTTACATAAGAAAACAAAAGTTCAAAGAAGTTACAGCATTGTCCTCAGTATGCCATTGCCAATCAACATTGAGACAAGACTTGACCCTTTTAGAATGTTTTAAGTCTTTTCACAGCAACTTGTAAACAAATCATTCTAAGTCTAAAGGTTGTATATAATTCTGCAGTAATATTCTAAAGTATATGCATGGTAAATAATAAAACCCCATATTTACATAATAGCGTAGCCAGATAAAGAGGAGAAGAAAATGAGAATCCAGTGTTCCATAATGTTGCTCCAGTTCAGTTTAAATCAAGAGATCTCAACTGTGATGTTCCGACATATGATGGGATGCTTATATAGTTATGTGTTCAGATACAATATCTTCATATGATATGTCTTCATAGCATTGTTAGGGCTGAGAAAATATATTTTTTAAAATGAGTCAAAGTGAAAATTTATATATCAAAAGGGTATCCTTAAAATATCCCTGTTTTTTGACATTAAAAAAATGTTAGAAGTCAATTGTTGGTCTCTCTAGAGGAGTTAAATAACAAAATTTAAATTATATCTAACATTTCTAGAAAAAAATGAGGGAACATTTTTGGCTATGTAATCAGCTGGGGCAGTTTCACTACAATAATTAAAGCCTAATACTATTTTAGAATGCTTTATAAATATTAATCAAATCTTCCTATAGTTTTAACAAATCATAAAACTACTTCTTGATAGGATGGACTATATAATTTGGAAGCTAAAGGGGCAAAGTTATCATAGCCATAGGAAGTGAAGAGGTGTACACACCTAAGATAATGACTTTCTAGTATGTATGCATCTATGGTCAGCTGTGCAAAGCAGTAACACTTACTGAGCACCCCCTCTGTGCCAGACATTCTGTTAAGCCCTTCTTATGTATTATTTCTTTTAACTCTGACACTCACCGTACGAGGTAGATGCTATGAATATCTTCACTTTACAAACAAGGAAATTGAGGCTTGAGAAGTTACCTGACATGCCCAGATCATCCACTAAAACGCGGCACGGCTGGAATTCAAACCCACGTGACCATTAGCACTGGCATAGGCATGGTGGCAGAGATGTCTTTGCTTGCTGGAAAATTTCTCTACCCATTTCTCTTTTTCTCTATATTTGTTCTACCCTGTCACCTTCCTTCTTCTGGCTCAGTGTCAATGAATTCTTTTTTTTGAACCATACTCTTCTCTGATGAACACAGAAGTCACATTCCTTGCATTCCCACTGGTGCATCCCTCCCTACAACCTCACCCATAAATACATGATATAATTTACCTTTTGTGTGGATGCACCAGGTACAGTTCTTTTCAGTTTACTTTTTGTAATCTGTATCGTGAAGACCATATGGTTTCTTTTTTCATGTTTCTTGAATTTTAAAAAATGGCAGTCTCATGTTGACTATGTCTTTTTCAAATGACTTGGCAATCCTGACAGGTACCAGTCCCCACCCCCCACCCTCTGCTCCTCCCTTGGGAACTCTGTTTTCCATTTATCCTAATCCTGTCCCCTTCTTTCTTTCCTTTTTTCATATTTTATCCTTCATTTGTAAAAAGAAAAAGTCCTACAGATGCACCCACGTGCAGACACCCACCCATTTTAGTGGTATGGCCACCAGTACACCGGTACTGCAATTCTTGGTTTCACCCAATCTTCCTCCCCTTCAGGACTTCCCCAGCTCAGTCACTAGCACTTCATTCACCCCATTGCTCAAGGCAATATCTGAGAATCATACTTAACCCCTTGTTCACCCTCATACTCATCATCCAATCTATCTTCAAGTCCTATTGATTCTTCCTCCGAAATATAGCTCAAGTCTAGTCATTCTCCTCTCCTTCGATTTCCGCCACTTTATTCCAAGCCTCCATCATTTCCCATCTATGGTAGCCTCCTGATGGGTCTCACCACTTTCACTGTTGTCCTCTTGGTTTATTCTCAGTGCAGCTAAAGTGTTCTGTTAAAAGTACAAATCAGACCAATTTCCCTCCTTTTGCATTAGTATAAAATGCAAAGGCATTAACATGGCATCCAAGCTGTGCATGATCTAGCCTCTGCCTGCCTCTTAAACATCTCATTTCACTCGCCCCTTTGCTGACCACACTATTCACATTCACAAAATCCACTAAATCTCTGCCTGTCTCAAGTGCTTCCCACATGCTGTTTCCTCAAACAGGAAACTTCTTACACTTTGCCTGGTTAACTTCTGGTCATCTTAGATCTAAGCTTAAATTGTACTTTCTCAGAGAAGCTCCCTGAAAGAGAAAATTGGGTCCCCTATTATATTTTTTTCTCATAAGACTCAAGCAACTTATAACTGTATGTTTATTTGTGTGATTTTTAAACTAAATGCCTGTCTCACATTCTTATACTATAAGCTCTATGAGTGGAATTTTGTCTGTTTTGTGCACTGCTATATCCCTAATACTTAGCACAGTGCCTGGCACAGCAAAAGCTTAGAATTACTGAATGACTAAATTAATATGGAAATAAGATCTGCAGGCAAGTAGAGAGATTCCTGTTTCAGGAACAGGTCTTGGGTCAAGCTGTGCTTTGATCAATTCTCGATAGGTATATGAAACAGCTCCATGAATGAATGAATCCATGTAAGGAGACAAATAAAAATAGACTAGAGCTCACTTGGTGTATTGTACTTTCACCTTAATTATTTTGGTGATCAGTGTCTACATTACAGATTTATTAGACAACTGTCAGTTCTTCAAGAAGACTGGGCAATTCCTAACAGAGATTATTTTCTTCCTTTGCAATGGAAAATACCTCTCCCTCCAAGCAGATGTTTCCTGAAATGAAGCCAATAATTCAAGGGAAATTTTGAAGGATGCTAGTTCCATTTAAGATACCATTATTCACTGTGTCCACTGTGACCTTGAATAACTTCTGGAATCTCAGAGATAGAGATCTTGGAATTAGATAGGCAAGCCCTTATCTGACTCCATAATGATAAGGAACTTAATCCACTGTCTTCATGGGTCTATGTCTTACTTCTACTCATGGTAGAAGTTTTTTGGGATATTTTGCCCTAAAATGGATAAGAATATATCAGTTCATTCAAACAGATTTATCAGGGACAGACAAAGCACAGGATATTACACCAGGACAACGTTTTACAAAGATTTGCACTGAAAAAGCTAACCAAAAGTGCTGAAGAAATGCCTAACCTTTAAGTTGCAATATGTGGTAATATATTGCAGGACATTTGAGAATTCCCCACAGTCTATTTCCAAAGCACGCATATATTGATAAAGCAATTAATGTCTCAGATCAGGGTGTGAGCTAGCTCTGTGAAAGTTAGCATGTGACACCACCAGTTTCATCCCTAGCTGAAAACTCAGAGGCATGGAGGCCAGCCAGCAAAAGCAAGGAGAGCCCATCAGCTGTGCTCCCTGCATTTCAGTGGAAATACCCCAATTCTCGGCACTGTGAATTGATAACAAACATCCAGGGGTGATGTTTGTACACAATTTACTTGTGTAACATCATCTAAAAGAAAACAAAGAAATTGTGAAGTTTTTCTTAGGAAAGCAGTTTAACTTGGCAACGTGCCAGCTCTTCAGGCTACAGATTATTATTTAGAGTAATTGACTTTTTAGACCTTCCAAAAACAAGAAGTGGGCAAAGCCTGTCATCAAACTAAAACTTGGGAGTTCTATGAGAAATGAGTGGGATTGCTGTGGGGCTCCTGTTATCCAGTACATCTTTTTGTATTTTAAAAAAACGTGTTTCTGATGTTGTAATTGGTTTTTCCACTTTGAGAGAATACTAAGTCATTCAGCTTTTGATATTCCTGGGGCAAGGAGAATAATATTTTTGTCTGTTTTCTCAATATGTATGGCATATTTTCATTTCCCCTTTTACATAGATGGTCCTAATTATTGTTATTGTGTAATTCATAAACAGAGGCTGACATAAACTAGATGAAGGCTAATTATAATACACTCGCAGGTTTTGAATAGGAAATGGACTCTAAAGCATTATATGATCGTAAAACATCTTTACGAAGTACACTGAAAAGTACATATTTATGGGACTTACACTTTGTATCAGGCATATCCTGGGTGCTAGGGATTCAGAGCTTAATAAGCCATAGTCCTTCCCCTTAAGCTATTTAAAGGCATGTAGATGAAGAATTCATTAAGGTGCATTGTGATGACTATTGGCTAAAGGCCCTAGGTTTTTCCAGTGTCCCTAATCGCTAGGGAACTTAAATCAGAGTAGTATGAGAGATAATGATGGAATCAAGCATGATCTTAGACTGTCCCTTCTGCAGAGGTGTGAACTTACACAGGAATGTTCTTACACCTTGTTTCATTAATTCCTAATCATTTATAGGAAGCATTATTTATGGGAAACCCTTACCTTA